TGTGTCACGGGTCATATACACACAGAGGGCATGTGACACGGGTCGCATGTGCAGAGTGTGTGGCACAGGTTGTGTGTGCACAGAGGCGTGTGGCACGGGTCACATGTGCACAGAGGGTGGGTGCACAGGTCGCGTGTGCATCCTGCTGGTTACAGGGCTCAGTAGGCATTTGTGTCCAACTGGTAACTTTCATTTCTCACCTTGTACTTTCTGCAGTTGATTTTGCGAGAGAGGCAGTTCATGATTTTGCCTGTTCCTTGTATGAATTGTTTTCTTGTTATCCTCTTCCATTTTTAGTAACTCCATGGTCTTTTTGGTGTTTCTGAGGAAGAGCCCTCTAGTGAAGACTTATTTCAATATGAGAATTTGGTCTGGCCACACGTAATCATTCCTGTCCATATGTAACTAGCCCAGTCCCGTTTCCAGATGAGAAGTGTGCAGGACCTAGATGTTACAAAACCATGAAACCGTACAACTATGAAAAAACCCAGCATCCCGCATCTGTGGACACACATTACAGTTGTCATTGTTTATAGGCACCAGACCTTGTCTTTCTCATAATGAATTGCACAGTTCTTGCCAGAATAAATGCCATTATCTGTATGCTTCAGGGAATTCCCCAATTTGATCATTTTTGTGTGTGACAGCAAAACATTTCCAAAAGGGTGAAAGGTGTTGTGTGGTAAAGACATGAACTCCTTCCTCTGGTCCTAATTGGGTTGTCCAAGAAGCACAGTGTCCCTCTTTAACAGGAGATTTCCTGCTTAACCACCGTGAAGACTCTCCCTGCCACTGATGTGTGTGTAACTCCTTTTATAAAACCATTCTTTTCTTCATTTTAAAGCTTTGGCTATAAAGTCAGAAACCTACTTAATACAAGCAAACTATTTTGTATTTAATGTAGAGAAGAGTAAAGGGAAGAAACCTGAAACTCAGTCTTCACATAAGCTCCAGGGGTATTAGGACTTAGAGGACTTTTCTAGTTTTATGAGAATTTGTACTACTGAATTTTATATATTCCTGTTTTTGAGATGAGCAGATCTCTGGGGAAGGTTGTTCAGTTACAATGGCATTTCACTGTGACCCCTCTCAAGCTCAGATCAGTCCTCTAACCCAGTGACAAACTGTCTCTTTGCTTTGCTGTCCTGTGAGATGTCAGCCGAGTTCCCCAGAAGTCGTGTGTTTACCATGAGTCCGTCTTTTCCTCTGGGTGGCAGTTGTCGGCCTTCTTAATTTTGGTGTATGTGCTTAATTCAAAGTATCTAAACCTACAGTCTGGTCTATCCTGTTAATTGTATTATTGATGATTTTGGTTATCTTGCTTGAAGATTGATTAATACTTTTCAATTTGATAGAAATAAAGTTTTTTCTGCTTATAACCAGTGAATTCATTTCATGTTTGTATGGCTTTTTATACTTGACAATATAAAATTATAACAGATATTCTGATTTGTGCCTCTGTGCAAATACTTCATCACCAACAGTATAATCTCTAATTTGAAGATGAGAAAAATGAAGAACATGATGTGACCTGGATAAGGTGATAGTTGGTGGCAAAGCAGGGTTTATTACACCCAGTCCCATTTTAAAATTATCATCTTTTAGAAGCAAGGTCTCACTCTGCTGCCCACAGTGGATGTGTGGCCAGATCACCCTGCGGACATGCCTGCTCTCTGGGGCTCATTATTCCATCTTCCTAGAAGGTTTCTTCTTCTCTTCCCTGTTGATCAAACACTTGGTCTTTTTGGGGCCAGTGCACACCCTGGCCCAGAAAGCCTCCTCCTGGGCGTGAGTCCTGCAGTCCCTGTCCTGCTCCCATTCGGCTCTTACCACTCTACAGGAGCCTGGGGTGCAGCCTGGCTGGCCACAGGGCCCAGCATGAGGACAAGACCTGGTAAACGGAAGTCATTGAGAATATTGAAAAAAAATGCTTTCAATGAATTTAAGCTTTTAAGTCTAAGTTCTGGTATTCAAATAAAATATAAAACATTTATTATAATACTGAAGCAAAACGTCATTCATAATTGAGACATTCATAAAATTAAAGATCAACAGCCTTGACTACTTAAAGATTTAAATTTTATATGCAAGGAAATAACCTAAAGAGTGACCAACTTAGAGGAAAATTTCACAGTAAACTCAATAGAAGATTGATATCCGTACCCTCTACGGAGCTCCTGCAAATCAATTAGAAACTCACTAGAACAGTGGGTCAAAGGTATGAACAGAGACAGCTTATTCACAATATAAATAGTAAATAAACATGAAAAGTTGTTAAACTTCCCAATTAAGATAAAATTAACGATGAAAACCATTTTTAACTATTAAACTCTCAAAAGCGAAAAATAATATCTTCTAGGGTTGTTAGATTATAATGTAAAGAGAAACTCTCATAGACATGTAAAATGTTAGTCATTGTGGAAGTCAAATGGCTAGTATTTATCTAAACAAAAAAATCCATATACCCTGGGGTAGTGCCTGTGGCTCGAAGGAGTAGGGTGCCAGCCTCATATGCTGAAGGTGTCGGGTTCAAACCCAGCCCTGGTCAGAAACTGCAAAAAAAAAAAAAAAACCAAAAACCATATACCCTTTGATATTATAATTTTATTTCAAGGAATTTATCCTACAGAAATAAATGTGCTCATATGGATATACATCGGAAGTTACGGTTGAAGCAAACAGCAAAAATTGGAAACAGCTTGAACATCCGACAGCGACACTGTGGCTGAGTGACAGTAAGTCAGAGGCCGTCTCTATGTGGCATGTTGGGCCTTGGAATTGTTTACAGATACACTATTAATGAAAACTATGAACAATATACATTAGTATATCATGATGCCATTTATGTAAAAATGCTTTTGTCTGTTATGTCTATGTGTTGAATAGTAAATTCAACATCTTGGGCATACAGAAAATACAAAAAATAGAACTTCTTTTCTTTTTCTATAATTCAGTCAAATTTGTCTTGAAACCCCACAGTATCAGCCTTGTAGACAGAGTCTGGAGGCTCTTATTTCTTTTCTCCAGGATCGCGTCTAAGTCCCAAAGCCCAGGTGTTGGGTAGCGGTCAGTCTATCTGGTACCCGAGAGCCTGTCAACCCAGGCACCTGCCGAGACACCCGTGTCACGTCTGACCCCTCCTTGTCCCTCACACAGGTGTTCCCTTTCTGGCAGCCACTGGTTCTCCTGGCTACTTCTTCCCCTGCCCACGGGGCATGGAAACCGGTCAGCAGCCCAGCGTCATCCTGCTGCTCCTGCCCCCACCAGGCCTTGTGTCTGAGAGGCCGTCTGTAGGCAGCTCTGTGGGATTCTGCCTCAGACGTGTGCCCCCCTCAAAATCCATATTCCCAGGCTCCTTTTCCTGTGTTCCAGGAGGAATAGTCACGTGTGGGGACAGCAATGACACGGGGTCCCTCTGTCCTTGAACCTGACCCTTCTGATGACCTGTCTTCTCGATTCCGCCCCCTCTAGCCTTGTGACCATGAGCACGAAAGAGCCACAGTGTTTGGAGAGGGGCAGCAAGTGAGGGATTTGGCTACTATTTCTAACTGTTTTACTGTGGTCTCTGATGAACATTTACTTATGTGTGGAAATGTGGAAGAAAGGTCTAGAAAGGTCCATGTCCAGCAGTCAACAATGGCTGCCTCTGAAGAAGGCTGTGGAACGTGGGGAGCCACAGGCCTACCTGGGCCTGGAAGGAGCAGGACCTGCCAGTCATGAACCCATTAGCACAGCTGCCCACTGGGCAGTCCAGGAAACCGGGAGTGCCTGGCGAGCCCTACTTCTTCTTACTGACTCTTCATGTGGAGACAGGCTGGGATCATTAAGGAGTGGGTCCATCACCTGAGATTCTGGTCTATAGTTAATGTCCAGCTGGACTCTTTAGTGGACCCCAAGCCCTATTTTATTTTCATTGCTTCAGATTCTTCCTGTGTTGAATTTCGATGTTTGTTGCCAAAGCTGTCAGGGAGTAGGCAAGTAACTGACACATTCACTCCTTCACCACTTGGGGTTGCCCTTTATTGGGGGGGGGATCACGCGGGGAGCACCAGCCCAGAACAAGACCCCTCTGTGTCCAAGTATCTGGAGGGAGGTCACACCTACCTCATTGTACAACAGCTTCAGTGACTTAGTTGGAAGGGAAATCATGCTGATTAGATTTATAGCTGGGAGGAATCACTATCTGTATAAAAGAATCAAGATTTCAAATGATCTTGAGTCTAGGTCAAAACAAAAAAAATACAATTTAATAGAAATAAACACTAAGTCCCATATTTAGGTTTAAAAAGTTCAGTTACAGAAGTACGGAATGGGAAGAACTTGGCTTGGTAACAATTTATATGAAAACATTCTGAGATTTTAGATGCCCCTGCACTAGCTCAGCCTAAAGTTAGCTGCACCCCACAGGACAGCTGATACCATCTTAGTTCCCACAATACATGGTAGAAATGTGGTATTGTGTTCAAAGTAATAGAAGTGATTAGACCATTGTGTTTAGCACTGGAAATATTTCCAGATGTATTTATTGTTAATGAAAAATACAGACAATGTGGAGATTATGACATTTGTGCAAAAATTATATGCTTGAGTGTGTCTACATTTAGGGTTCAACGTCCAGCTGCAGGAGTGGAAGCTTCACAG